ACACTTAAGTGGATACTAAATCATTCATTATATGTAGCACATTCCACAGAAAATAGATACTTTAAGTCTTTACTGAATTTTCTCAAAAACTATATTTTGTAAACTATATAGCCCTATATGAAATTTAAACATTATAAGTATCATCCAGCCCATACTGGCTCTATTTAATGGAATAAATCAAAGAAGAAATGACATATCTTCATTATTGTCAATATTGGAAGTAGATCTTTATACAACTTTATTCACTGAAAAGAACTAGGAAGTTCAATCCATTTACCATTCTGCTACTAGAATGACCTTTTTAAAATACCCAAACAGATCTTCTGTCTCCAGTCAGGTAGGCTTGGTACCCTTTCTCATCTTTGCAAACTAGCCTATGAATATTTCCTTCAAAGCAATTGTCAGAAACTGTTATAATTGTTACCCAATGCTAATATCTTTTCTTTTTTAAAGATTTCATTTATTTATTCATGAGAGACACAGAGAGGCAGAGACACAGGCAGAGGGAGAAGCAGGCCCCATGCAGGGAGCCCGATGTGGGACTCAATCCCAGGACCCCTGGGTCACGCCCTGAGCCAAAGGCAGATGCTCAACCACTGAGCCACCCAGACGTCCCGTAATATCTTTTCTCTTAGACTATGGACTCCCTGAGGGTAGGGAATACATTTCTATCACTCCTGTGTGACATCTGGAAGTGATAGGAAGTTTTAGACAGATAGTAAATAAAAGTAATTATTCCCCCAACTGGTCTTGGAAAAAGCCCAATTTGAGAACGTCTCATAGGTGTAAGCACTAACTCTGTGATGCTCTCCAGGTGTTTAAATAATAAAGCCATGAATTGTCCATTGCTTGCTTGTTTAAAGACTGGTTGACGAAAAGGCTGAGAAAATGATTGAGAAGGTATGTGGCCCCTAATTCCTGAGATGAGACCCAAGGAGCCCTGGTGAGCTGAAAAGAGACAGCTTTTGAATACATTGCTGCCTAACATGGGTTCCAGTGCAAATGCAGTACTAATGATTTAAAGCAGTTCATCAGAATATCAGATATTCAGCAGTAAAGCAGAATATCTTTAAAAACCTTTATGATCCTGTTCTGTACCAAACTCATCTCTGACCCATTTAGAAACCCACAGGACTCAATACAATCTTTGGAAAATGGGTAGCTTTAAAGAAACTCTTCGGAGTACTGGTTTCAGGCCAGACTGTTAAATCACAGAGTGCCAGTTTCCTTCATGCCAAACAATACAATAAACCCCTCTGCAAAAGGAATAAAGACTGCTGAGAAATAACTGATGAGGCTTTTAATGTGAATAAATGTCATTTTGTGCATCAGTATTGTGAGAGTTTCCTTTTCACAAATGGAAGAGGGATTTTATAAACTCTTGTGTGAAAGGATGGGGATTTAGAGTTGGCATTAGTAGACCCTGTAATAAAGCAAATCCCCCTTTCAAGTTCCCCTTGAAGTGAAGAATGACACTTGAACTTTTCATTTGGTAATATGTGGATTATAGATATCCCTCCTCTTACCACTAAGGTGTGTGTCATCTTCTTTGCTATCTTCGTAAATATCCTCCTGGGAGAAAGAGGAAGTGGAGAAGAATTGAGAAATAGCCTTTTGGCTTCATTAGACATTACTTGATTAAAGATTTGGAAGATGCTGTGAAAATACATTTAGTTTTCTGACAATCTTGTAAATGAAGCTCAACAAGTATGCACCAGAGTACTGGTCAGATCCTTGGGAGGAAGCTTTTACACAGCTGACAGATCCTGCTAATGAATTCTGGATTGGAACAATATTTATTTTGGCTTTTCCTTATATACAGCAGGTATATAAGAATCAGCCAATGGTGTGAGGTCAGAGATGTCATTTATTTGGCATATTATATTTATTAGCGTTTGTGACATATTCTAGCTTAAAATATTGTGCTGTTTAATGTATATATATTTATAAAAAATCATTGGGCCATCTCTTGTAGTATTAGAATGTTAAATGGTATTTGTGAAAGAAAAAAATATGCTTGTAACTTCATTAATTGTTGGCTAAGGCCTCTTCCTACTATTATTTTTTTTTAACTAAAATTTGTACACTGAAGATAACTTTAGTTAGCTTCCTAGGTGGCTGCCAAAGCCAAATAATCACATTAAGCTCAAAGTGCATTATTTTATAGATTCAAAGAACATAAAGAAAACGAAGAGCACAGAGATGAATTTCTTTGTTAATGAAACTATCACTGTAAGAACAGCTATGATACTAGGTTCTTCACTAATAGGAAAGAATGATAAATAGTAACGTCTATATTTAAGGAACAGTTTATACATTTGTATATACATTAATTTAACAGAGTGATCTTCTGAGTTTCCAGGGACTAAAGCTATACATAGCAACAAAACAATTTTATGAAAATAATTTCCCCAATTAATTTACATAATTTAATTAATGTGCATAATTTACATAATTATTTTCATCTACATGAAAATTAAGACTTAAAATTACAACTTGAATAATGTGAGTAAAGTCATTCAAATATTAAAATATATGGTGTTTAAAGTAGCAAATACATTAATTAATTCCAACTCTTTACAGATCTTTGCAAGAGTTTGAGGGAAGACTCTAACTCCCCAAAGTACAGGATATACTTCATGCCAGATTATCATATGTATCCTTTCCCCATGACTGAGAAAGAAAAAAATGATATTTATACACTTACACCTAGGAGACATAAGCCCTGATACTCAAGGAGTGATCACAATAGTGATTGACTATCAAATCATTATTGGTTTTTTATTTCCACATTAATTAAATTTCAAATGTAAATGTTTTGGCTTTTAAAACCTGCATATTTCAGTGTTTACTAATATTTTTTATTTTGGTATGATTATCAGGTTTTCCATTATACCTAGTTAAAAATATGTCAAATAAAATTAGGAGGTCTTCCTTTCTGTATATGTAAAATGTCTTTATTTCCTGTGTCTTTCATGGTCCAATTTTGTGGCATGAGTTTCATTAAAAAAGATTTGATTTTTAAATATTATTATTAGTAGGCAATTTATAACCAACATTTTCTTTAAATAACTATAAGTATGCAATCAATATGATTAATTTTGGATGCTTTCAAGATATCATATCAGCAGTAGCATTCTTTCTACCCAGAAGGTGGTAGGAACCTTGTCCTGTTTTTTAACTCCATAAGGCATGGCTACCAAGTCTTGTTAGGTGAATTTGCTTGCGTGAGCTCAAGTGTAATGAGAACGAAGTATCCTGGAGTACCATTCATATTTTCCTTTTGATGCATTTTTAAACAGGGAGGAGAAAGTGGGTGAGATTGTGATTGGGGTGTAAATGGTTCATAATGCTATGTGTGGTAGCATGCACATGGCAACTGTCTTGAGACAATGCTATAGCCTTTAAAATATATTTCCACATACTTTAAATCATTATAAACACCAGTCCTATAAAAATACAAGCTCTTATTTCATACAAGAGGAAATTTAGACTCATTCAAAATCCAACAGTTAAGTGTCAAAGCTCCATTAAGTCTAGAACTCCAATCTCCAAGGCCTTCGTTTTTTTTTAAACTATTATGTCATAATGTAGCTTCCTACCAAAACTACATTAATATTTAATAAAATATAATTTGCAAAAATAGAGCATTATGATACTTTTGTTTTTAACAAATATTTCAAAAGTAAGAAAAACGTGTTTTTCTCTACATATACTAGCTAGAACCTCATGGGAGGCTAAAAATTTGTTCTAATAATGGTTTATGCATTCAAAACATTTTGGGAATTCTTATTTTGGAATTGCCTTAAAAGCCTACGGCATTTTCTTTTCTTTTTTCTTTTTTTTTTTCTGGCATTTTCTTTTAAACTCCGTGCTTTCAAATCTTGATTTCTAAAATGTAAATTTGATTTTTTTTGACATAATCAGAAACCTTATAGAGGTCAGATTTGTGAATGAAGTGATAGATGCAACTTGTTATTTTTATTTTGACTTTCAAATTTTGAAACAGATTATAAGAGGTAGGTAGTATTTAAAGGTAACTCTAGGGATGCCTGGGTTGCTCAGTGGTTGAGCACCTGCCTTTGGCCCAGGGTGTGATCCTGGAGTCCCGGGATCAAGTCCCACATCGGGCTCCCTACGTGGAGCCCGCTTCTCCCTCTGCTTCTCCCTCTGCTTCTCCCTCTGCTTCTCTCTCTGCCTCTCTCTCTGTCTCTCATGAATAAATAAATAAAATATTTAAAAAAATAAAGTAACTCTAAGAGAAATATTTAACAATAGTTTTCTTAATAGCACCAATAAAACATTAGATATGTTATCTATGTCTACCTTAAAGGATAGCTTCTTGTGGATATTTTAGGACTGGATTAATCATCCACAATTCTATTTTATCAGACACATACACTGATATATATATATATATATATATATATATATATATATATATATGTGTGTGTATGTATATATGTATATATATACACAGATTTTATATTTGAATATGTATAAGATTCAGACTATGTCTAACATATGCTTTATATCAAAATGTGTATAACATATGCAGAGAGATAGACACACTAACTTGTATTTCAATTTTATAAATATGAATGTGGTCAATTTCAATCTAAATCATGCAGCTCACCTATGTAACTTGGATGTTACCTAGACTTCACCCAAAGGAATGAGTTATGTTCCTTAGTGAATGAATATGAAGTGACATTTGTGAGGGTCCAGCTGCCAACGTATACTGCTGAGGAGGTCTAGCCTGTTTGTGGTCCACATCACCAGAGCAGTCGCCACTGTTTGAGAGTGGATCAGACTACGTTGATCCTTTATTCCTTTAAATACAAATTCTGCAGCTCATAAACTCGCCTATCCCCACTTCCTTTCCCAAGATCACAAGCCAATTCCCACCCCCCATAAATAATTTGAGGGTAGTTTAATTACGGTAAGAATAACTTAAGAATACATTTGCCTGTGGAAGTTACTTTTCTTTTCCAAGTTCACATCAGATGGGTTGGTTATGTGATGAGGTCATAACAAGTTTTGAGGGAGGCACATGTCACACAATGGTGCAAACACCCAATCATCATGCTTATGAACCCAGAAGGATCCTGGGAATTACTTTTTACATTTCTAAAAGATTTTATTTCTTTGAGAGAGAGCTTGAGTAGGGGAAGGGGCAGAGGGAGGGAGAAGCAGATACTTCTTTGAGCAGGAAGCATTATTGGGGGTTCAACGCAGGCTCAATGAGGGGACCCTGAGATCATGACCTGAGCCAAAGGTCAGACGCTTAACCACTGAGTTACCCAGATGTCCCCTGGAAATTCTTACCTCCTTCCCTCCCTTTCTCTCTCCTTTCAGCCTTGAGTCCCATTGCCCTCAAAGCAAAAGTAAAGGGGAAATAAGTGGGTGGTGGGACAGTGAGTCCTTATAAGAGGAAGGCTACACTGGAAATAGTTTGAGATTGATTTTGGTTCTTTATAACCTATCAGTTTAATTTTATAATCATGTTGTAGAATCATTAAAGAAGCTTGGTTATTATCATCAAGATTCCTGGTTTCAAAGGTGACAGGTTAATGGCTCATTTACTGAGGTATGCAGTTTTCTTTCATTTTTCACTCACAATTATCTTTACTTGTTTTAAAATGCGATGCAGTCTCTAAAATGTATTGTAGTTATTCATTATTTCTGTCAATTAAACTTTCTAAATCATAGATTTAAATGAATCACAAATAAGCATTAATAGATTTCAATCACTGAATGCCCACTTCCTGGAAGAAATGAATGGGGCAGATTTACTTTGGAAAATCTGCTTTCTGCGGCAGCTGGAGCGCTGGAGCTCAGCAGATGTTAGTTTTTAAAAAGCTGGTATTCACTTTGGAAATGGACTCTGGATGTCGGTGTTGTCTTTCTCCATGGACTGAAATGTTTGTTGACAGAGCAGTGTCAATGCTAATATATTTTTAACTGAAACAGTGGTAGCTTCACAGAGCATCTGTGTTCTGTAAGCACTTCTGTGTGATGCCTAGATTGCCTGATATCTTAAGGCAAAGTCATGATTTCTAAACAACAGAGCCGAAACTTTGCTTCAAGGTTTTCATAGGTAGATCCAATTTTAGATGAGTAATATAAAACCAACTATCCTTAAATTTAGACTAAAAAAATACAGTGGTCTCATCAAGGAGGCATAGTGTTTACGATGTAGAAAATCTCGGTTGTAATCGCTATTGTAACATTGTACACATTTGCATTGTTTATGGAATTAAAGTCAACAACTTTTTTTTATATAGACTGAATTAGTTCTCTAGTTCACCAGGCTCCATGATAATTGACGTCTCTCTAACACTTAGAATCCAGGTTACTATCCCGGGAGTGGTGTTATAATGAGGTTGTTGCCATAGAGACTTTGCAATCATTGACGCATTTTTACTATTGGAACTTAAATGCTATGGCAAATTTAGAATTTTAAATCATTTAGAAACAGAACAAATTCTGTGGGGATAGTGTATTATTCTTTTATCTGAAATAAGCCACTTGGGGAACTAATTATTTTGAAAATTGAGGAAAGGTGCTTATTAGCACAATGGTGCCATTTGAGATCTAAGGCTAAGAGAAGAATTTGATCTGGCAAATGCAGTTTACCAATAGAAGTCCAGTGTCAGAAAATCCCAATGAATGTCAGTTTGATTTGGGATTATTAATACTGAAAATAGCATGGACAATGTTTTATACACACGAAACGAATAGGTTTGCTACGGAAATATAGAAATGGTAGATTGCCTGTCTTTAAACTATCAATTAACTATTAAATTTCTGTTTGAGATTTAAGCAGAAAATATTTTATCCTCTAAATCATTTTAATATTATAATCATATATGTGCCTATAATGTTAAATATAGGCTTTGGAATAAAATAGTTTGACTGCTTTATGGAATTGTACTGCCTACGGCATCATTCTAAACTAGTGTTGCCAATTACTCTTCGAAGTTAAAGCTGGCCACTGGGATGGTGGCCATCAAGGGAAAATATGAATTATAATATCTCAATAAGATCAAGAAACCATGTTGGATCTGGTTTTGCGATGCATCACTATTGATTAATGAGTTTCCCACCATTATGGATTGTGTCATATAACAGAAGATCGCAGTGACTATCCATGATGTCCTGGATTCAACTTGTGTTATTCTCATTTTTATTCTGTATGAATAATGTTTCCAAGCAGAAATGCACCAAGTTATTGCCTGAAAGCCAGTTGCCTATTCGTTTATTAAAGAATCATCTATCATGGCAAGAGTCAACACTATGTTTAGAGGAGAAAAGTGAGTTCTAATTAAGGATGATCTACTTGAATTAACAAAAGTGAATTACAACTTTTGGAATTACGTATCTTTTGAAAATTATCAGTAGTACTGTTTAGAGTACATTTCTACTTTATCTTCTCATTTAGCCATGACTTAGTTCATTTAGATTGTGCAGAATAATATGAGGCCCCAAGTAAATTAAGGTTGACTTAACTTTAAGGTTGACCCTATAATTTCTCTCAATAAGTTATTCATCTATTTACTATAGCTCTACTTCTATGAGTGATAATAGAGAACAATTTTATTTTACTAACTTTGTCCCTGTTGAAGACAATTTAGAATTTTAAACTATAGAGTTCAGATTTTGTTTGTTCTCTAATCTTACAATGAGGTCTTAATAACTGAAAATGAATATACATTTGAGTGTTTTTATGGTAAGAGTAAAATATGTTCTCTAAGCTGAAAAGAAATTAAGGAACCATTTTAAGAATTCTCAAATGGGCCAGTTTCCTGTGATATCTACTTCTAAGTAATTCCTAACACTATGGAATACTTTTGGGAATTCAGATATTCTTTAAAATTCATCAGTGTACTTTGAACTATCGTAAACACTTTCCTAAATGTTTACAAATGCAATTGTCTATTACAAAGCAACAAAGAAGATTTAAGATTCAGTGAGGTCTAGATTGGATGTGGCACTCTTGATGATGTCCTTGAAATGACTGAAAATATTTATGTAAAGCACATTTTCTAGATCTGACCCCAAGCAAATTTCCTTTTTTCTTTATCTTTGTCAGGTTAGAGTTAATGTAGTGGCATTGAGGAATATGAGCAGGAGGGGAATATCTATGTATTCTTTATTTGCTGATGTGGTTAGAGGACCATGCAAGAGACTAAGATTTTTTTACGGCTTATCCTTGTTCTTCCAGAACATTAAAAAGTAGAGAATTTAGAAGAGGAAAATTATTAGACTTAGATGCTTCATTGTCAGGGACTTGTAAGAAGAAAAAATGACACCATGTGATTTATTCTCATGACAAGATTGTAAAGAGAACAAGAAGTACAAAAACTCAATCTGTTGTTGTTACATTATTTACATTTGTACATGATGTCGTCTTTATCCTGAATGCGATATTTGAGTGCTTCAAAATGGTAATATAGAATCTTCATAAAGATTTACAGAGCCAACTTCAAACAACTAAATTCTTAATTTAATGGTAATTATATGGTTTAAAAATGTACTTTCTTTTTGTGGCATATTTTTTTCAATAGCTAGCTCTGTGTATGCTGACATTAAATCATTTTGATGTCCTTCAAAATACATACTGGCTTCCTTGAGTTTTGAAATGTAGAGATCTATTTAGCTCTACATTCGGTAACTTTAAAATTGAAAAGTACCAGATATGATTTTCCAAATAATTTTTCAAATCAGTCATTTAACTTTAAAATGTTAATTGCTGGGACGCCTGGGTGACTCAGTGATTGAGAACTGCCTTCAGCTCAGGGCGTTGTCTCGGAGTCCCGGGATCAAGTCCCACATGGGGTTGCCTCGAGGAACCTGCTTCTCCCTCTGCCTGTGTCTCTGCCTCTCTGTGTCTCTCATGAATAAATAAATAAAATCTTAAAAAGAATAAAATGTTAATTGCTAATCCCCAAATCCAAATATTGTATGAAATTAAACTGTTGCTTTCCTTTTTGCATATGTGGTACCTTGAATAATAAAACACGATGCTTTCTTTATAAATACTAATCAACTCAAATGTCTTGCTCATGTTTGAAATGGGTCAAAAGCATTTGACTGAAACATCATGGAGCCCCATCATTTTAAAGAAAATGAAGAAGTTTAAAATGAAGCTTGCACTGATTGTTTCTTTGGAACAGATATGTTTGAAGGTTTTCTTATAAAATAGGTCCTGTTTGACACTATGAATAAGAGATCATCCCTTCTTCCAAAATGTTACATTCTGGTAGAATAACTGCTAGCATGAGAAGTTCCAGCTTTGTACCAGACAAAATAGATACAGCAGGATTCTTGGTAAAACAGATTTTTTGTAGTGGTAATCATAGCAGACTGTGGACTAAGATAGTTAATGGTCTGCCTAAACATGCACATAAAAATTATAATCAATAATTGCATAATCACTCCATCAGATTTGTTTTAATTCATTCATGAGAGACACAGAGAGAGGCAGAGACACAGGCAGAGGGGAGAAGCAGGCCCCATTCAGGGAGCCCGATGTGGGACTCGATCACAGGACTCCAGGATCAACCGTGGCCCGAAGGCAAATGCTCAACCACTGAGCCACCCAGGTGTCCCTCCACCAAATTTAAAAAAAAGAATTTACATCTGCTGTCTTATGTGACTTCGTAATAGCAACATAGACCTGATGCATTTTAATAGTAAATGAATTAATACAAGCATTTAGTTTCCTAGCCAGTAATCAGAGACTGAATTCTATGGTCAGGGATGTTTTCCCCCATCACAGTATGAGGCTTATGGTTCATTTATTGGAACAAATGGATTATACCATAAGGTAAATGGTTACAGGCATAGTTGATATCACATTGGAAGATCAGAACTGGTACAAAAGGGCCTTTGTAGAGTACACATTATTTGGGGGTCATGTGAATCATGGAAATGATTGGCTTGCCTTGCTTGTCAGATGAGTTCTCAGAATATTATACTTTCCATGTACCTTACTTTAAACTACTTAGTGAGATTGTTTCCTGGGTAAACATTCTCTGGTATCTAGTCCTAGTGTGATACAGAGCAAGGTGTGTTCTTTGATTAGTCCATTACTAAAACATC